ATGTTTAAAATGGAATGAGGCAAACATGTGATTCTTTGTTAAACTAATTTGTATATGCCCACCCAGAATCCTTTGTGGTAGTAACATCACTGCAAATTTGTGATTACTGTGGGGAAAGCAAGTCTTATGGCTTTACTGGTGTGCAGATGTTTGTATAAAATCTATTTGGATTTTGCCAAGGCATTTGATACAGTTCCACACAATAGATTAATGTTCAAACTCAAGAAAATCAGTCTAGATGGAAATGCTTGTTCTTGGGTAAAAACAGAGTACAAAGAGTTGTCATTAATGGTCAATTTTCAAGATGGACAGAGGTGGCAAGTGGTGTCTCTCAGGGGTCTGTTCTGGGACCCCTTCTATTTAACATGTTTATAAATTATCTTGAAGACAGCATTGAAAGTCATGTTTCAGTGTTTGCAGATGACACAAAACTCTGTAAAATAATACAATGTGAGCAAGATATTACTTTGCTGCAGAAGGATTTAGATAGACTGGGGGACTGGGCACTCAAATGGCAGATTAAATTTAATGTTGAAAAATGCAAAGTTATGCACCCAGGCATAAAGTATACACAAGCAACGTATACCCTTAATGGAAGTGAATTAGGGATAACACGAAATGACTTGGGAATTGTTATACACAACAAACTATGCAACAATGTGCAATGTCAATCAGCAGTGGCCAAGGCCAGTAAGGTATTGTCATGCATGAAAAAGGGCATTTATTCTCGAGACGAGAATATCATTTTGCCTCTTTATAAATCACTGGTAAGACCACATATTGAATATGCTGTGCAATGTTGGGCACCTGTTCTGAAGAAGGATATTATGGCACTAAAAAAAGTGCAGAGGCGGGCTACAAAATTAATTAAAGGAATAGAACATATCAGCTATGAAGAAAGGTTAACAAATTTAAACTTATTTAGTTTAGAAAAACGTCGCCTGAGAGGGGACATTATACAAATATATTCGGGGCCAATACAAACCATTGTGTGGAAATTTATTCACAAACCGGACTTTACATAGGACATGAGGTCATGCGTTTAGACGGGAAGAAAGAAGATTTCGTCTAAGGCAAAGGAAAGGTTTTTTTACTGTAAGAACAATAAGGATGTGGAATTCTCTGCCTGAAGAAGTGGTTTTATCAGAGTCCATACAGATGTTCAAACAGCTACTAGATGCATACTTGCAAAAACAGAATATTCAAGGATATAATCTTTCAATGTAGGGTAATAACTGCTTGATCCAAGGATAAATCTGACTGCCATTCTGAGGTCAAGAAGGAATTTTTTTCCTAGCTTGTTGCAAAATTGTGCTTCAAACTGGGTTTTTTTTGCCTTCTTTTGGATCAACAGCAAAAAACAAATGTGAGGAAGGCTGAACTTGATGGACGCAAGTCTCTTTTCAGCTATGTAACTATATATATATATATATATATATATATATGTATATATATATATATATATACATGCACACATATGTAAATGTAACACAGAACAGGTAAGAAATATTGTCAACCATGATTACAGGTGCATTCTGTATTGAGGTATATTGCCATATATCTTGTAAAGGATTTTAGATTGAATGAAGATTTGATTGTGTCTGTGAGGTTATTCCATAATTGCAGTGCTCTGTAGGAAAATGAGGATCGAGCTACTTTATTTTTGTAATGCGGTATGCTAAATATCATGCTAGTACTGGATCAGAGGTTTTAGGAGGTGGGGACAGCCAGAGAGAGCATTCTACTCAGGTAGGGTGGGAGCTTCCATCATTGTAAAGATGAAGGGTGCATCATGATTCTATCAATATTTAGTTTAGCTCTTTTATCATGTCACAATGGTGGGTCATGTAATTACATTATAGCACAAAGCAGCAGAACGAGTAGTACGATATATTACGTTTATGAAGGTGGGTTTGTGGTGCAGGTGCATACACTACATCCCCAAAATCAATGACTGGCATTCGAATTTGTTGCACAATCTGTTTCTTTACTGTAGGGCTAAGGCAGGATTTGTTTTTGTATAAGGCACCTAGTTATGGAAAAAGTTTTTCAATATGAAGGCCAAAGGATAGATTGGAGTCTAGCAACATATCTAGATATTTGAAAGAACAGACTGTGCTAATTTAATTTGTTCTGAAACATAGTTATTAGTTTTGTAGTCTATGTAATTTAGGTACTGTTCCACTGTAACAGTTTTGTCAGTGTTTAGAAAGACTTTGTCATCCGCGATCCACTTTTCCACCTTTGTAAATTGGTCTTGGAGCACAGCCTAAAGCTGCGGCAGATCAGGTTTGCTAGTGTAGATGACGGTGCCATCCAGGTATAATTCATTATTGTCTTGTCCTTCAGGATTGAAGTCTATTTTATTCAACTGTAATTTTCTGTGTTGACAATTATAATTTCATACTTCAGCATAATTTATAGTTTCACATTGCCTTATAATGTGTTGCTCATATCTGTTTAACTCAAAGGGTTAATTAACTTCAATTGTTGCTAGTTTAGGGGTTTTTTGTCAACTATTTTACTTTCTCATATGAGTCCATTAGAACAGGGTGTTTTAACTTCCAGAGGTGGACGGGGTCAAATGTTATAGGTGGAGTATGGCGCACCACTATATCAATAGTTCATTAGCTGCCACTAGGCCCTCAAGGGGAGAATACCTTCTCATCAGGGCTAAATATTTGCCAATGGTGAGTGGTAAATTTAAGCCCT